AATTCTCAACAGTCTCCAATCTTCTGAAGCATAACAAACAAGTTCTTACATGGTGAACAAGTTCTTACATAGTGAATAAGTTCTTACATGGTGAACAGTACAAGGGCAGTCATCACAGAAACTTTCGGTTTTGATCACGCATTATGAACTATAAACAATCAGGTCAAATATGAATATTCATTTGATTTTTATACTTGATTCATATGTGAATCCCACATTTCTCCCTTATTATTATTATTTTTTTTAAATAAAATGCTGAAGTGGTAGGTAGATGCAAGATAAAGGTAGAAAACATAGTTTAGTGCTGTAAGAGGGCAAATGTAGATGATCAGGTGTGTGCCTGTAGACTGAGTATTAATCCGAGCTAGACAAGGGCAACAAAACATCCACGGATTAGAGCTCTCATGTTTTTAAATCTACCCCTTTCCTCCTCACTCCTTGCTATCTTCTCCCATAACTGATAGTGGGCCAAGAAGAAAAACAAGTGTTTGGTAAGGCAGGTGGGAGCTCTGGTAGTACAGGCAGCCTTGGAGCCACGCGGCACTGAGGGGGAAGAGGAGGAGTGTGGAAACCGGGCTTTCTGGAGAGGCTGCCGTTGGCCGGCCAAGGCCCTGCTTGGGGATACAAGGCCCATATATATGAAATCATTGGTGGCATGGATTTTAGGTAAAAATGGAAGTGCTGGAAAAAACGCATTTGAGACAGACTCCATTAATGAGTTTTCGCTGGCTAATTCATGACTGCTAACGTTGTGTGGCTTGTTTTATCCCTTTACCAGTAAACTGTTACTCAAAGACAATGTGTTGGTTTAAAAACAACTCCTGTATGGAAATTAGCCTGAGACTAAAAATAGATCAAAAGAAACAGTGGTAAGTTTTGATATGGCTTTGACTTTTTGAAAGGATGCCTCCTTGTGTCATAATAGGAAGAATCTATTTACCTCTGACACCTTTTTTTTTTCCTCTTTAGAACACACAGAATTCTTTTCCTGTGACTCCATCACTTGCCGCTAATCCTGCCATGGCTTTCAATCCTTACTTACCTCATCCTGGGATGGGTCTGGTTCCTGCTGAACTTCCACCAAATGCACCTGTTCTGAGTTCTGGAAACCTGCCTCTCCCATTGCCAGGAGCTGCTGGTCCAAAACTGATGCGTTCAGATAAACTAGAGGTATTTGTATAGAAATATATAAATTTCTAGAGGGCAAATATTAACCTTATGCAAAAAGCAACATTCTCACAGCCCAATGTGTTAAATACTTAAAATAAGTGCACCTGAGTTTTTGGCTTATGGCATATAACTCAAGAGAAATATTCAATGTTTCACTACTGCAATTATACCCTGTTTTGAAATGCATTGATTCAGGTGTACAGTGTGTTCAGTGGTGTCTCAGTGTACCCAGCTGCAGCCTGGGCATCTCCTTTGCTAGGGCACGGGAAGTCTAGTGGGAATGTTCCTTTTACGCGAGCTCCAGCTTTACAGAGTGGGGTTACTGTATTGCTGATGAGTCTCTACTTGCTAGAAAAATCAAACTGGAAAAGAGTAGACTAATTCTTCACGAATGCAGAATTTAAATGAGTCTCAGAGTGTCTAAAACTTTTCTCCATTTTAAGAATGACATACTAGATAATACATATCCCTAATCCCTAAGGAAAGAAAATCTAAAAGAAATTTCAACCAGCTTTTTGATTTATCTAATAAGTCCTTCAGTCTTCTCTTGTCATTCTTCACAAACTGAAATAAATTAACGAGCCCATTTCTTACAAAGTCAGCTCCATTGGCTGGCCTAACTGCCTGCCATTGTATCATAGTGGAATCTGATTGTACTGTCCACAGGTCTGCCGTGGGAAGCTGCATTGCTGAGCAAGAAAGACTCTTCCTGACCTTAAGAAAATAACCCTCTCTTGCAAACTTACTTAGCTCATCGTGCTATAGACTGTGAATTAAGTGGAGGATTAAAAATTGGTTTTCAACAATTTAGGCAATTTCAACTTTTAAGCACTTTTATTCCAACATAAGGAAAACAAACAACTTTCCTTTGGGGACAGTGGAATTTTGTCTTGAGGAATAGAAATTTTGTCCATGCTTACGTCTCATAGTGAATATGACTTTGTATTATCCTTCAATTGTCTAGATTTTTTCTATAGATGAGAAGATAATGTATACTATTGCCCTTACATTCACTGGCAAAGTAAAGAAAAGCTATCACCTTCCAGGTATCAATGCAATGTGGACTGTTTTTCTTATTTAAGGTCTGCCGCGAATTTCAGCGTGGAAATTGTACCCGTGGTGAGTACGACTGCCGCTATGCTCACCCCATGGATGTTTCCATGATTGATGTGAGTGACAACACTGTGAGGATCTGCATGGATTACATCAGAGGTCGATGCTTCCGGGAGAGATGCAAGTACTTTCATCCTCCTGCTTACCTGCAAGCCAAACTCAAAGCATCTCATCACCATGTGAACTATTCAGTTGCCAACACCGTGGTAAGAACTGGCTGGACTGTGGACGGTCTGTTTTGGGCTAAATGATTAGTTCCTTCCTCAACTTGTCTCATGTTCTGTAACCATAATCTTGGATAGTCATGAGTGGACATTAATATAAATAGTCAACATTATAAGCTGGAATAGAGAACTTATATTTTCTACCTTATTCACTAAAATTTTCTGGAGATAATTAATTAAAAGCTTACTAATGATTTTGACCTGCTGTGCTTTTTCTCCCATTCTTAGAGAAAGGGAGCATATAATTTCAACAGTAAATTATTTTTGAGTAGTTTTTTTATAGCCTAATTAACTTTAATATCCTAAAAAAGCAGTGAGCCTTCACAGACAGTTTGCTAGCAACATCCTCAATGTCATTCAGAACTAAAGGACTTGGAATAGAGGATGGTAAGTTGGATCTAATTTCCCAAAGGTTAAGGTTCTCTTTCCTTGCTGGAGCAATGGCTTCAAGGCAGCAGCCAACCAAGGCTGGGAGAAGAGGCCTGGCTACTGAGTTATACAAGCAAGTCAGTTTTGGGGAAAAGTTAGTTCTACCTAACACTGAAAAGTAGGAGGGTGGAAAAATATAACACTACAGTGTGATAGGTTGAGAAATAAGAATTATGATTACATAAGTCTGTCACAGCTGTCAATTCTTTTCATAAGCTGCCTGTGATTTCTTCTGTGATCTGGGCAAAATGTAATAGGATATAACAATCCCAATAAGAATACAAAACCCTGAGGAAGCCTCATATTTCCTGGCTGTGAAAAAATCACCCACATGACCCTGAAGCCCATGACAGAGACCTTAGCTTTTCATTAAGAGAGATACATTTATTTTCAAACACCCATGTTTGTTAAGGTTTTCCTCATACTGAGTTGAAATCCACCTTGCTGGAGCTGGAAATTACACTTATTTTATCACACAAAACTATGCGCTGTTCCAGATGAGTGTGACTCTCATGCCTTTTCTCTATGGCAAATACTCCAAATTTCTCCAAACTTTTCTCAAAGATAATGGTTTTAAAGAATGCAGTACCAATTTTGGATTTGCTCCATTTTCCCTGTTCACTCAGAACTGAACCCATTACTTCATGAAAGATCTAAGCACCAAAGTAGAACAAATGTATTTTCTCCCTTGATCTGGAAAATATAATCTGTCAATGATTCTTAAAAAAGACTTCACCAAATGTTTTTTTTTGTCTTAAAATCTTCTGAATGAGGGAATTTTAAGTTATGAAAACAGCAAAGTATCCAAAGTGTTCCATGCAGAATTTAAGCCTCCAATATTTGGATGACTTCTGTTGGAGGCAGAGTTCAGAAACAGTATGGACCTATTATAAAGAAGAGAAATACAGTTGGCCCCCTAAAAATAAATGTTCCCATATGCATGGGATGTACACAGAATGGCTTGCTTGTGCCATTGTGCACCTGTCCCATGCTGTCATGGGGCCTTCATATGTGTGTGCCCATTTCTGATGATTTGGATGTGTTTGGTAGACTGTATATAAGTCACTCCAGATTTCCATGTAGAGAGGTAAATATGATATAGTAGGACTTCGACTGGTGCTTGTGAATGCCAATATCAAAGTTCTTTCCGAGTAATTGATCATAAAAGAGCCTTAGTGGTGAGGTAAAATTGGCCCGTAGGAATTTGGCTGAGTTCTAAGGTTAAACAAAGGAGGCTTCACGAAAAAGTTTAAGCTTCCTATACTTTTAAGGGTTCCGAATTGAAATGCTTTGTAAAGATAGTTTTTTCTTATCCTGTTTATGTTCTTGTGCATAGCTCAGGTTGATTTCTCTGAAAGGAGCTTGTAAGCATTTAAAAGAAAAAGACTGAAATTAGTTCCTAAAAGAAAACAGAGGTACCTTTAGGCCTTTGTTATCCACAGGAATAAGGAGGTCATGACATGCTCCTTTTTGGCACGTGGAAGGCTACTCAGCACAAATGTTCCTGTCTATCTAAGATTTTGCAGCATACCTAATTGTTGTTACTGAGGCATGGTTTTTTTAAAGTAAAGTGCATTTTGCTATGAAAAAAAATGTAATATCAAACTTGTCCAATGAATCTGATCCAGAGGCAAGTTTAACTGTATATTATAAGCAAAGCACAGTGGGATTTTGAAAGAATTGTAGACATGAAAAGGGGATTTTAAAATGCAGATACATTTTAGAATTAAACCTTATAAACAAGTGGTACATACTGAAATGTTAATATAAATGAGAATTACATGTATTTTGGTATCTATGGTATCTGGGTGAGACGGATGGGGTTGGGCAGTAATTCGTTTGCTTTTTTCTTATATATTAGTCTGGGAAATATACAATTATAGGATTTGAACCTGACGTCCTTATATAAATTGGATTCTGTTTTATGGAACTACAGTATCAGACTGATCTACTGACACCTGTTTAATCATCTATACACCATGTATCTCCGAGATCCATATCAGAATTTATAGGGCAAAAAATTTCTTTTCTGCTCTATCTGTTGCTTCTGTTAATCTCATTTTAATAAATTAATAGATGAACATCCCTAAGATGTTAATTTTAAATGATTATTTGCTGTTCAGAGCTTCCTGTCACTCCTGGCCAAATGATGAAGTCCGTTGTTGTTTGCCTAAATTAGGGGAGTTGGAAAGCCTTTTTCCCCCCTGTATGTTTATCATCTGTTTTGGACTGAGTACTTAGCTAGGCAACTGCCTCATCTCTGCATTTGGTTACCTTGCAGATGGATACCCTTTGCAAAGGGTTCCTGGGCCATACCATATGGAACTGCTGCTTGCTGGGTTTGCGGACATTTTTACTTTTTTTTGGTACTATTTATTAACCCATCCCTCCCTTACAGGCCCTACAGCCTGGTGCGCTTCAACTGATACCAAAGGAATCAGCACTTGAAAACACCAGTGGGGTCCCCCCGGTCTTTAACCCCAGTGTTTTCCACTGCCATCAGCCTTTGACTAACCTGCAGCATCCGCAGCCAGCGTATATCCCCACAGGTGAGAACGGTCCTGGGCACTGTGAGTTTAGTGATGTTGTGAATGTGTACAATGTGGACCAGTGGCCAAAGAACTTTTCCTCGAGGACCGTCAACAGGTGTTTTGATTGGAAATAAACAAAGGCAGTTAAACTTGACCTGCTGGTATATAGAACCAAGTGTTTTACTATGATTCCTGAGAATGAGTGGTTTGAAATCAGACTAGGAAAAACTGCCAACAATTTTCTTTTCAGCATTCCTTAATTTTTGCTTTGTGTGATTGATTCACTTGGTTCAGTTTCAAACCAATTCCTTGACTCTTAGGTATCACTTTCAAACACAGTGGTCAGCCCTAAAAAAAAATGTTTCCCAGCTTTAGCATCACAAAAATAGGTAGTCTGTATCTTTGATATGCCAAAGAGTGTTATAATACAACTATTCTTAAAGTGCTATAATAGTATAATACAGTATGGTATATACATAAAATAGTTGGTTTTAGCTTCTCTTAAACTAGATAATATAAAAAAATAGCAGTTTATCATATTTTTCTGACACTTTGATATTTTGTTATCGCCTACATTCAGCTATATTTAATAGTATAACAGTTTTGCACCAAACTGAATAGAAAACATTAAGCCAGAATTTTGTTCAAATAAATAGTATATATGAGGGAAAATACTTTTCTTCCAGTGATTTGGTACTTTAAGAATGAGAATGTAAGTCTGTTAGGAATAAATTGAAAAATACTGCCCACTGGGAGTATAGTAATTTTTTCCCTAGAATCATAAATGCCCCTGTTTGGAAATTATCATTAGATGAAAATTACATGCTTTAAAAATGAATTTATAAAGACTTGTTAATTATATAAACATACTAAACACATAGTATTGTATACCTAGACTTGAAAAAAGAAGTTGGTGAATCGATAAATTAATCAGCTAATTAATTTTGAAAGAAGCTACAAAAGCCAGTCTTTTATCTAGTTACTAACTGCAGTAGCTCTTCATATTATGCAAAAATCACAATTTTTAGACTTTTTTGCTGGAATTGGCTCATTTAAAGTCTAAGTTTATAAACAAAAATGTTAGAAGACTCTCTTGCCCTTTAATTAATAGCAAAATAAAACCTGTCAGGCTGAGAGCCCCTCTTGATGAAAAGCCTATTCACTGTATGTTCCTAGTCAAGTCTTCCGTTGTGAGGTGGAGGAGGCAGTGATAATAGATGAATGCTCTACATAGAACTCTTTGGCACCAAGTACAAGATCCTGGTGCATATTTTGAAAATAATATGTGTAATAAATTAAAATTCTCCCCTTCATGATAAAAATTACTTAGGATATATTTTTTCCAAACTATGTAAATAAGTGAGGTAATTCCTTTGAAGAAAAATTAATGTTCATTTTTATACCTAAGATTCCAAGAATTACTTTGATTACCTGGGTTTGTGATCTTAAAACTAAGCCATAATTGTAAGCATGGGAGATGACTGGATTTGCATGTGCTAAGAAATTAATATTGCGAAGATTATCTTTCTGGTTAAAAATTGTTTCTATCGATAAAGCTTTAATAATGAAAAACCTCTTTTCTTTACTTTCCACGCTTTTCTGCATGGTGTACAGGGCGTGTACTGTGCATGGCACCCACCTCAAGTATTGGTAGGTTTTGCAGAAAAATTCCCACTTTTTCTAATCTGAAGAAAGCGTTTTTCTGTTGTGAGTATGAGAGATGAGCGACTGCATGATGTGGCTGGGCATTTTCTGAGTATTTAAGGGTTAATATGATGCTGTCTGTCTCACATCTTTGTGGGCTCAATGCATGGGCATAGTCCTACACTCTCAAGTCCGAGCTGGTTGCCACTGTGGCCAAATACTGACCCCGCCATTTCTCTATTTTCACCCTAAAAATTGCAGCTGAAATATTTTGAAACATTTCCTTATCTAGTCAGAATGGGCAGTTTTGTTCTTAGGTTTACATCTGTTACCAGGAAATTATAAAATATTTCAAATGTGTAATTTGTAAAGTACAACAAAACAATTCCTCCAAAAGAAAAGTTACCCACAAGATTAAATCACTGAATACTCAGAGGTTGAGAAAGGGTGAGTTAGGCAAAGCTGGAGCATTCTGTAGTGTTCTGTGATGAATACTGGGTGTTCTAGGATGAGTACCACCTGCTCAGAAAGCAGGCACAGCAGAATCATCTCAAAATAACTCTTGTGGGGTATTGATTTTTAATAACCAGTTATACACAGATTCTTTAATTACCCACCAATACAATATGGTAGCCACCTTAAAACTACAGGGACACCACTAATACTGAAGAAGACAAGAAAGTGATTGGTTTTCTCTCGAGAACTCCTGTGGTGTTCACAGTGCCTATAGTCCCCAAGGGCACCAGGAACAGTCCAGGATGAAATAGCTGCATCCCAAAGAGGGAGAAATGATTTCACCCCACCCCACCACATCATACCAATCCAGTCCCTTTCATCCTTTTTTGAGACTTGCCACAGCTTGACCTCCATCCCATTGGTCGACCAGAGTAGATACAGATCCCAAAAGGGACTCACAGGTTTGTTGAGACAAAACAAAAGGTGAAAGTGACAAGCACATACTCATTGTACTCACTAATGTAGCGGGATGGGCACATCTCTTATTGAGGGATTGGCTGTCCCCTATGGGAATTCAAAACCCTTCCATTGATACTAACAGGAGCATTAGATGCCTGTGATTAGGAGAACAGTCTTCCACAAATCCATGAAAGGTGTCTCTGTCTTTATGTTTTGTGACTCTGCTCCTCTGTCCTTTCAACTCTGTGTAAAAGACTCTGTGTAAGAATGCAAAATTGAATGCCTCGGTGGTGCTACTCCCTGGGTAGTTGCTGTGCTCCCAAAGGGAAGGCAAGAGTGTTTTTAGAATTGGCATGTGGTACAATAGGGGATGCCTATAGGCAATTAATCGCTGGAGATAGGCATGTAGGCATCAAGGGTAACTACAGAATTTCTGTGAATCACCATTTGGGGCACATTGGTGGTTTCTGTGACGTTGCATATGTTGATTTTCCTCTCCCCAGACCATTTGCTTTCTCTGAGACTTTCAAAAACTGTGAGTTCAATTGATATAGATATAAATCATTGTATGTGCCCACTTGCCATTCACACATTAATTCTTCAGTTTGCTAGAATGAGAAAAGTATCCAAAAAGCTTTCAAAATGAGATGGAAACTAGAAAAGGCAAAGAGAAAACATCCTGAAAGAGATGCTGCAGCTGGTAGCCATCATTGCTGTAGTAGTTGTGGTGAAGACTTCCTTTACTATGAAGTACCCCATATGTTTGGTGAATAGCCCAGGTTTCCAAGGGATTTGTCAGAGGTGTATTTATGCATGCATAGTCCAATGTATTCTTCATATCTGTTCCCTTACCACATACCCACCCCTCAAACTACCACTTCTTTGCATGCGGATCAGATACGTGTACATGTAACTGTCCCTTTGCACCTGCCATCTAGTGACAGTGCTCATGTCTGTAAGTTAGCAAAACCAAGCGCCAACTCACGGTCCCCACTGCCATTTCAAGGGTGTGACCCTTTACCTGTGCTTAGCTGGGTATTTGTAGAGATAGCCTTGGTAAAAGCAGATTTGTCATATAAACCCATTGTAACTCCTCCTGACAGTTTGGCCTCTTAAGTCAACTACGATGTGATTCTGCTAAAACACTAACTAAATGTTGAGAATGATTTTGGTTTCCTTAGTGGTATCTATAACTGGCTCTCCCCTTTTCTCTTTTTAATTCCCCCCCTCTTCCATGCTGTGTTGCTTTGCACTGACTGTGATTGCATGTTGCACCCTGGCGAATCCATCATGATGATGTGACATGGCTTGATGCTGTGATGCCTACCACGCTCCATTCCACCGTTTTATGTCATGTTTGCATAAATGCTCCACCCTCCCGTGTGTTGCTTCCATGGTTTCCTACTGAAAGTGCCCATGATGCATGGTGCTACACCTGCCACTGTGCCTGCAGCACCACCACCTGCCACCAGCGTTCCCTATGCTGCAACTGCTGTAGGCAATCAGGTTTGGCCATTTACTTCGCCTGTTCAGACCTAGATAACTGCAGTATGTCGGTAAGACCCAGTATATGCTTTTTGGATTGGTGAGAGACATCAGTCTGTATTCCTGTGTGTTTCTTAAGCTGTTACATTTAGAATTTTTATTTTTCTATATATTCTAGAGGGATGTATCTGCTTTGCTGTTCATTCTGAGATGAATCAGCAGAGTTTTCTCATTTCTAATCAGTTACCAGATGTTGCTTTTGATACGTCATATATATGATTGTTGCTTCCACCAATCCTCAAATATATATACTAAATACTTTTTAAATGCTTCCTCATTGGTCAAGAGGACAATGTATTTTACTACCATGTTTGGTATTGCATTTGAACTTTCATGTAATACAATCATCACCTTTACCTTCAGCTCTACTGGAAAGAAAACAAGATAACACATTTCTTTCCAGGATTACACCAGAAATCCCTTCTTATGATGACATCAGATGTGCTGGTGGTATTTTGATTTTCATTTGCCTTAGGTATTTATAGGCAGAGTGACAAGGCAAATTATAAATTTGGGGGGACTCTTGAAGTTGTAATGAGATACATGCAGTAATATTGTGCAATGTTATGGCCATTTTGCCTTATTAAAGTGGTAACCATGCTTAAAGGCTGCACGTTCCACAGCTGTTGGAATTACCAGTACGATAACCGCATAGCACACAGAGCATTAATTCATTAGGGGAACAAACCACATTCTCTTCTCATCTGTGCTTTGGAAAATTAACTGTTAGCGCATATGGTTAGCACTCTAAAATTTTTTGTGAAATTGATTATGATTGTTAATTACCATGACCAAACAGAATAAATGGAATTCTATCAAGAAATTATTTTAATCTAAAATCTTTTTTACTACTGTAGATAACCCCATTATCAATAGATGAACTGAATAGGAGCATGTTTGTTTCACAGATGTAGAAGTTACCAGTAGAACAGTAAGTTTTCTTTAAATATTAATATAAGTAACATTTATAGGTTATATCCATTATTTACACAGTTGAGTTTGCTAAAGGCCTTGGTAGTGATTTTTCATTAACAGACACTGCTTATAACTTAGAGCTCGATTTAAGCATTCTAAATTTTCCAAATTGAAATGTGAAGACTAAATATGACAGTTTTTATATGAAAATGAGAGCTGATACCGTATTTTCCTAATGACCTTACAAATTCTGAAATGTATTCCTATTATTAAGGGGATGTGATTTGTCAGCCAAAGGCACAGCTCACTTTTGAATTTTGTTAACATTTTTTAGTTTCTTTTTTTAAATTGAAGTAAAACAAAGTAATTTGTCACAATTTGATTGAGATGATTATCTTAAAGACAGTAAGCAATATGTTTCTCCTATGTCACAGAAAACTGTGCTTTTACCATCTGCCACTTTGTGTTGCTTCTCATGTAAGTCTATTTGAATTGCTACAGCTGTTTGGAATTTTGAGTGACATAATTTAGTAATGTAATTATTATTTTCATTCAAATCATGGCTTTTTTGGCAATTTCTGTTGTTCGGTTGGCCCCCCTTCACCTTTGATCTCTTTGCATGCTTCAGAGCCTATAAAGGAATACACACTTAATTTGAGCAATCATTCACTTGCAATATGTGACTTTTGAAGCCACTTAAGACTCCTAGGTATCTTAATGAATTAATTACAGGGACTTATTCAAAAGTGTACCCATTCTGAACTGCATAATTAATATTTGAAAATTGAAGTTCTCACAAGCAGGCTGTTTCATTTGGTTAAAGGAGGCAATGGTTCTATTCTCTTTCTGGACTAGTTCCCCAGAACCTGGCTAGCATTTCTTTCCTGCTGAGAACACACAGACCCAGAATACTAACTGTTTAGACAGAGTCTATAGCTGACTGTACATTAGATAAGTATGTCCCTCCAATCATAAGGAATGTTTTAAAAAGGCACCTTTGAGTCCATGGAGTAACTGAAGTAGCTGTAAATTGCAATCGCTTTCAGGGGCATCATTTGGGATAGTGGCAACTTGGGAATAGCACCAAACATGAAAATACAGGTTTTGCAAACGCTTGCCTGATTCTCATGGGCTGCTTTACATCAAGGTAAACAAAAGTTGTCAAATACAATTAACTTTCCAGCAGAACACGTTTGGGAATCAAGATTCCTTTTTTGCTTGATTCCGTTAGACAACTCATAGTATTTGGCACACCATAATCACTTCAATAGGTAACATGTTGAAAATTTCTCCAGCGTTCAAAAATGTAATTTTGTAAAAGACTATATACTTAGATTTCACACTTACACTTTTCTTCATGGCTTCAAAACATGCAGATAAAAAAATTTGGGGTGTGTTTAATATTTGCATATTTCAAACTGTTTGGTATCAAATATGTTTTCTCAATATATACTTGTTGAAAGAAGTGGATGGATGGGTGGATATTTGTCAAAAATTTCGGCATTGTAGAGATGATGCCATAAACAATTCAGTACATCTCCATTAACTTCAGGTAGATTTGTACATTAGCACTTAATGAGCACCATAGATGCTCAGGCTGTATGACTTTCCCAGTGACCATTTCCAACAGCCCCGTGTTCATACATGTAGACTATGAAATTCACAGTGGGGACTCTCTTGGCATAGTTCACACACAGAACTGGACCAGGAACCAAGTATCCTGACTCCTACTGTAATAACCCTTCAGTATTTCTCACTCTTTCTTTCTTTTTTTTCCCTTTCAGTTGAAATTCAGAACAGCAGAGTTACTGAGTACCAGAATCTCTCCGGGAGAACCTCCATGTGGCCTTTCTATATATATTATCACATGTCCTCTTCTACCAACACAACAATAAGCATGGTGCAGTCGATATATTAAAACAAATATACCAACAACACATAATTTGGATAAAAAATAAAAGCATTAAACAATCAATGTAGATGTCAAAACAAAACATGAATAGAAAACAAAAATTACCACTTACCTTAATTGAATTACTAGGTAGAACACAACTATAAAATTTTGCCATTTGTTACATTTTTCTTTGACATTTTCTAGTAACCATTCTGCTGAGTGAATCTCCAGTGGACTGTTGGTTTACTGTGCATTGTTAGTGGATAAGCGTTGGTCTGTTTTGAAGTGTTACCTACTGTTTACACAGTAGTCTTTTGGGTTGATTTCAGAGTATAACAAATATATCCAATACCATTTTCCTTAATAGTGTAGTGTATTATGATGTGTTAAAGTTAAGTTTTTCCACACTGTGGTGTTCTGCTGTATATGTGTGATGTCTGATTTCAAGTAAAATGTTATTAATGGGAAACAGAATTGCGTGTGCTTGGAAAATACATTATTTTGAAAAACAAAGGTTAATGTGAACATGCTCTCTCTTTAGAATATTTCTGTAGATTTCTTGGGGCAGACATTTAAACCACCTTGGGGCAGACATTTAAAACTTTTGAATGTGCACGAAATCTGTACATAAACAAGCATGTGTGTAATTTCTACCTGCAGATCTGACCTTGCATAATACAATTATATTACCAAATTTTTTGTGAGAAATAAATACTGCAAAAAACAGACAACTTCTTAAAACATTAACCCCTAATTTCACTCCTTAGAAAGCTGGAATGACTAAAATTTACCCTTAAATGGATTTCTTAGCACGTATACTAAAAATCATGTAAAGTGCCCATTATATTTTTTGTGGCTCAAGAATCCTGTTTCCTGGTCGAATATCTAAAGCTGAGCCATTTGTCAACTTCAGCTGAAAACTAGAACTTGGGAGCCTGAAGGTATTCTACATACAGGTTATAAATAAAACAGAGAGATGAGGGCATGGAGAGGTTTTTACATACTGGAGGAAATGGTGTAAAAACCATTGCAATATAACCTTTTATACAAGTGCCATTTTCCAAATGCAAATGGCTCATGGTCTTTAGACAACTTTTTGAATAATAAAATGCAGCCTAGAAAAAGACAGGATGAAAGAAAAATGTTTCCAAGTGAGGCCTTTCCTCCCCAAATGGACCATCTGTTCTACTGATCACAGTTGGAGCCTGAGGATAGGTTTGGAGAAATGGCGGAGGTGGGGAGGCAGGTAGGGAGGCACTTAACATTATTCTTTCATTTATTTAAAAGTTCTAGAAGAATGTCCACAGTTGTCTTTACCTTCAGTTGCACTCAGTTTCCATTTTTGTTAAACACTTCAGTGAAGGAGCAGGCACCTGTGATGTATGTCAAGTGTTGCCATTCCCAAACTTTATTAATGAGTCTCTCACATCATAACCAAGCCTCTTTTTTTGGTTTGTTTGGATTTCTTTGTTTTGGTATGTATTTGAAAATTATGGGAGATTTTGAGCACCCATTGGCTTTACTCCACAGAGCTGAGCTGAACTCACTTTATTAATACTTATGAAATAATTTTACAATCAGATATAATAGTAATTACTATAGTATGTGACATACCTCCACTGTACTCAGTTATTACAGTTACTATTAAAAGTGGTGGAACCATATGATATTTTGTAACAAACTTAGATTCAATGTTTTCTACTAAATATGTGTTCTTTCTCTACAAAGTATACATTCATCAACTTTGATATGTATAACAGGTTTGTTTTCTCCTTCACGAAAATGACAAGCAAAGAGAAAATCTGATTTAGAATACCTTAAGCGGGCAAGTAGTGTGTGTATCACAAAACAATGGAGTTGGCAAAACCTTCTCACAGTCAGTGAAACTGAGGCCAAGGGCTTATGATGTGCCCAAGGTTACCAATCTAGTTGGTGGCAGCCAGACCCAGAAATATCTCCCAACTCCCAGTCATCCCTCTGTTTCACATTATTTGTGCTTTAGAACATTTGAGACTCCATCCCAAAGCAGGGCAGTTTAGCTCAGAATACAAAAGCGCACAATTAGCTCTTCGGCAGTTGATATCCTGTTGATCATGATTGTCCATCCAGATCGTGATCATCAGTGATTTCTAACTGCTCTTGCTCGTATTGAGCTGTTGTCATCATACCAGTATTTTCTGGAGCTAGAGAACAAGAGGTGTCCTGACTTTTTACTTGTTCATTCTTTGAATCACTCAATTTCTGTTTCCCCTAATCTTAACTTTATTAGAGAAGAAACTGGAGTATGCCTTTGTGGAGTTACTTGTGTATGGAATTGGGTTCTGTATCACCTGTACCAGTGCCTTTCCAGAAGGGCAGATTTGATCACACGAATCCAGGAAGGGATGCATCTGAGCAAGTCTGGATATATCCCTTAAAGGAGAAAGAGACGTTTTTAGTGCTAAATGAGCATTTCTGTGTAGTTTGACATTTTGATGTAACTGTCTCCTTTAACTATTTAAATGTCTGATGAAGATCTACATAGACAATAAGCCTACATAACAGCTGTTTTCATTTTGCTTTAAGCACTGGAAGACGTTAGCTATGACTTACATTTTAGCAAGAGGTTCAGTGAGGGATATTCAGGGTTAGTTGTATTTTTGGTGCCACAATATTTGATATTGTTGGCATTGTAAAAAGTAAATGAATTTCAAGACAGAAAACTCAAGGCACTGAAGTTTTGACCAGATGCAAAATAATTTTGACAAAAATGCAATTTTAAGACAGCACTCTTTGGACTAGTTGTGCAATGACTTATTCAAATTATCTTTATTCAAGAAAAGAAAAGAAGAAAGCTAAGTCATTAGACTATAAATTTTCAGTTGACAAGAGAAGTCACAAAACTAATCAGTGACTCTAAACAACGATTTACTAGATGAATTGTATATATAAAATTCTAACCACTTGTGATTCTTAGTTAACATTTTATAAACTTTGTATTTTACAAGGGCCTCTATTTTTATTTATCCAAAATTGTTTTTGTTCATTTCTATCAACCTATTGCAAAAATATGCAAGAGTACTGAAACGTGGATAAAACAAATCATGTATACAGAGAAAATGATCTAAAAGTTATCTTCTAAGACAGTTTTAGTAGTGTCAATATTTTTAAAAGCACTATGACCATAACATTTTAAAAAGGGATTAAGATTAAAATTAAATGGATTCATAAAATTGCTATTTAAATACAGTATTTCCTTTTGCAATTGGAGCATGATTCCACAACCAGCTGTTGCATTTCATTTCACTTGTCTAGATTTAATTTGTAGTTAATCATGATGTGCAAGGCCATCTTCTCCCTACTCCATCAAACCTCTGCATGTGTTTCTGAACATGCTAAAGCACTTTGATCTTGCCGTAAGTGTTGTCCTACACCACTAGGCTGTGTTCACTAATGAGCAGCCTCTGCTCACCAGCTCTCCAATTTTGGAAAAGCAAGAGCTCCTCTCTACCATCAGCAGAAACCAAATTAAATTAATCTTAACAACTTGACTCTATTTTTAATGGCATGACCAGTAAGCGCAGGAATGACTGAATCAGGACAATGTCAGCATTGTATCTTACTAGGTGATGTGTAGGGAAGGCCCGTGTGCTACTTGGAATATTGTTTGGCTCTTCCCCTGCACTCCTTCGGCGAGTGTAGATGAGGATGCTCTGAGGTAAAGGGAAGCTGTGTGCTTTCCAAGTTATTTCAGTCGTTAGAGCAGGCTGTGATGCCCAGAATGATTAGAAACTGGACTCCTTTTTCTTTTTTATCTCTTCAACATTTTCACATACATTGAAATAGAAATAGAGAAATATGATTTCCCAATTCTGTTAAGTATATTTAGGAAGATAATGGCCTAAGTTTTAAATTTACCGGTGCCTGTCGAAGGTGACAGAATAAACAGTATGTAGAAGAGTATAATAACTTCATTGCAAATTTAACTGATAGCCTAATCAAACTGTAGCTATAATTACAAATGTAGGTTCTCAGCACCAACTCACTAATTGGTGCTAATGTTTTCATTTTTCTTGTTGGTTTTTAAGGTTTTTTATTACGTTTTTATATCTAATGTATGTAATTAATGGATTTACTTTGAAGGAGACTTAAAGAAAGTTTAAGATTTAACTACATTATTCAATCTGCCTAGATAGGTTTAAAGTGACACTGAAGCATGACAACATTTATACTTCATAGTTATTCTTTACAGTTCACAGTTAAGAACAAACTATAAACAAAAAATAATTTTTAACTAATTATATTTAGTCATTGCCTTAGCAACAATACTACAACATGGCTACCTTTAGATATGTATTCTGTGTGTGTGAAAATTTTACTTGTAAACTGTATGTGGTTTTTGACAGTATGACATGTAGCAGATATAGCTCAAAATTCAGAAAACAGATATGGTGGAATTTTTTTTTAATCCCTAATTCTCATGTGAAAGCTGCATGTGTGTCCTGTGTGACATTTAGATCAAAAAGTTTACCACACATAGATTCTAGATTTGGGCTTTATAGCTTATAGAATTTGTTGTGTGGTTGGGTTATTCCACAGTATTTAGACTTCAAAACACAATTGTCACATCTAAAATACATTACCTGACCTTTCTTTCATAATCTGATTTATTCAAAGCCACTCTGTTCAAGTGGCATAGTGTAGCTACAAAAATGCTCTTTTCTGAATTGCATATTTACACATATATATCCAAATAAGGATTTAAGAATGGCGAAAGCCAAAACTGCTTAATGAACATTTTCCCTCAATACCATCCCACATACATACCTGTCCACCAAATTTTCAACTTTCCCTCCTCACATAACATGTGTCACAATGATTTCCCCAATTACCTAATTAAATTGGTGTTCTGGCTAAAAAAAAAAGGAACGGTGAAAGCATATTTTGAAATTAATTCATGTTTGTAAAACCATGCACAAAAGTACTGTGGAATGACCCCTTCACAGTGTTTGATAGGCAAATGCTGCAGTTAACTGATTGTCTCAGTTAGGGTGCGGATGTGTGAGACACACCTTTTTTGCACTTATGTACATAGTCTGTGAAAGCAATCCTTGGAGCTTTTTTTTTAAATATAAGAAGTATGTGATAATAGTGGAGAAGTTAGTAAGAGAGAGTTACTTGTAAGGCTTTGAGAAGGAGGGTGTTTTGCTCTAAGACTTAACTAAAGCCTAATGTTGCTTTGCTGTTGTGGAGGTTTTCTAAATGGCTACCGCAAGCTCCCCTCAAGAGAAGATAGATATCAGGTTAATGGTCAACTTTGCAAACAGCACTGAACAAGAGTAAAGGTATAAACCAGTAGCAAAGATTGTTTGCTTTCTAGATTAATCCTCGCTAAACATACACACACACACAGGCAGGTTTCTGGCTGAGGTTTCCTTTTTTCAATGGTTACAAGCAGTGAAATACCCTGTAAATTGCAAGATGGATATTCCCATTATGATCAAATTAGAGTTCACCTTTCACAGAAAATTATCAGTTGATATGTATCAGCTACATCAATTAATATGTATTTAAGTGACGATCAAATTGTTAACATTCACCACTATTGCCCCTTGAAGATCCCGAACCCAAAACCAAACTGGCAACCATTGAAAGATTTAATAACAGTTAAGTGTGGCCAGCATGGGGCATTTCATTCCCTCCAACAAAGGAAAAAAATGCTCCCGGCACAAGTTTATAAATGGCTTTATTTACCTCACACCTTTCTGATGGAAGCTGTTCTCTAACTTACCTTTGTCAGATTAGAAAGTGCTTCACTGTTTTAACTAAAGGAAGTGAACTAGCCCAAATATTACGTACATTCGAACTGGAAAAGAATGTTTTGATCAGGTCATCTTTGCCAAGTTTAGTTCCCTTGTCACCTACAGGTCGCCATTTAAGTTTTTGTTGCCTCCAGGCAGTGAGGCCTAGGAAAGGTCAAGGTTAGAAAGGTTTAAGAATAGATTACCACTGTGTGTGGAGTCCTTCTCATCTTGGGACATGTTGCCTTGCCCTGGAAAAGGAGCCCATCATGGTATGGGGCAGTTGATATTAGTTTTCACTTACTAATGAGACTAAGGGACAGGAAATTAAGCCAAAGCCAAGAAAGCAATCCAAGCCTTACAGTTGTCTAATAGCTCAGGGCCAGTTGGTTATTAATTTCTTTTTTTTCCTTTCAGCCCATAACTACTTAAGAGTCAGCTATACAATAACAGCCTGAACATCTGACCAGCATTTTCCATTGATAACAAATGTAAGCATTCATTCTTCCAACTTCAACCTTATCACCAACATATTTTCCCAACTTAACCGTGTTCCTCTGTCATCATTTGTGAATCTATAAGCCAAAGAATATATTTTCATAAGGTCAATAGAAAGGTTTTAAGTCAGGAAGAATCATCTATAAGATAGTAAGAATAAACCTAGAAGCATCACAAAAAATAAGCAATTAATTGATTATGTTGTGCATGCTGAAAGCAACGGGGTCATACTCTTTAGAGCTTAAACATAGTGGCTGTGTTTAAGTAAGTAGAATTAGAGAACGAGGTATAGCAGAGTGTGAATAACTTGATGCCAAAAAAGGAGCTCTTTTATTAAGCCCAGGAAAGAGCTTTGACTAATTCATACCATTTCTAGCCCCTTCACTTGTCCTTGCCTGGGAGGGAACCACCAATTAATACACCAAAGCAGGATTATTCCAGAGAAATATTATCTTGAAATAGAACCCATCCTCAGTTACAGTATACCTAAGGGGAAAAATGTATTGCTGTGAAATAAGTCCCACTTATTTGCAGTTATTCCAAAAATCCTCACCAGTCATTTTCTACATCATATTATTTAATTTAAAAAATACCTCTGTAACAAGACCAAAAAAGTAACCCAACTTTAAGCAGTGCTCTTTTCTCACAAAACACACAAAGATTTTTCTGTCATAGAACTGCGTGGTTCCGTACAGATGCTATTTGTTAATGACAGAAACCAAATTATTTTGTTGCTGTCTTGTGTGTCTAGCAGTTGAGAGATGATAGACCATCCTATCATTGAATTTTGGGGTTGCCCTTTTCAAAATAAATGTCTATTATCACTGTTGCTGCTTTAATTATTAGAAAATGAACTATTTGTTATCAAGCCCCAAAATAAAATAATTTAAGATTAAAAGATGTTCCTAAATGTACCCTTTTTTTATAAGGGCTAATGTTTTTGCATTCATATAATAAAAATTTGGTGTAGTGTAAAAAATAGAAGCACATATTTTGGGCAGAAAATGCCAGTTAAAAAATACCCACAGATAATATTATTAGCCCTGTACAATTATAGATTTAAATAATGGCCACAATATTTCATAAATATCAATTGTTCCTATAATATTGTGCCTCCAAAATTCAATAGCCCATTCCCTCAACTGCTATAAATATGGCAGATACTTTGATGTTTTTGTTGTTTCTTTTCCAAGTTGTAGGGCTGTTCTGCTTATTTGGGTTTAGAAGTGCATTATGTAGTTCATTTTAGTATGCTATCTCTATGGTGTTCATTTTTGGTTCTTTTAATAAAACCTGTAAATTTCTTGGTTATGTTTTTTTTATGAATCCAGATTTGCACAATTTGGAGTTTACTTAGAAGCTATTCATGTTCTAGCATATTAATCATTATATTTAGTAATTTTAAGATAAAACATTTGTGATTGATGATTTGGTTCAATGTTATATTTCACACAGAATAAATTTCCAGGTATACCTAAAGTATGAATTATATAGATAATACATTCAGTGTATTAGGTGTATTATTCTTATAATATTTAAGTCACTAACACAAGAAATACACATTTGAACTATAGCAAAAAAAATAAAAATTTTGAGATAACACCAGTTTCTATTGTGCTTCAGAAATTCTGAGGCATATCTAAGACACATCATTAGAAGTTTGTATATTCCAGTTATTATTTCTATGCGACATCTTCAGTGTAACATAGGAAACCAGTGTCATTCATTTCATTGTTTTCAAGTTGAGCATCAATGGTTTCATAACAATGGGATGCATGAATTTTTCCATTAAAATGTTTTCTCTCAGTTAAAATTGGTTTTCTCCAACAAATGGCAGAAGGATGAAAAGATAATAATTTTTGTTCTTTAAGAAAGTCAAATGTAACTTGGTAATTCTTTATTCTGTCAGATCTCTAAATACTTAACAACACTATAGGGAACTTCCCCATATAGGTCACCATTCATTAGTTGAGCTGATAGAAAACTGCGGTGAACAGGCTCTGGATGAGAGGTTGACAGAAGGCAGTATTATTTATGCGTCTATAGCAGAGCGAGGTGGGGGTGGGGGCAGAGGGGAGGTCCCGTGTCAGCCGAATCACAGAGCTCCTAGCTCCTTTGCCCCATGTAGCCCTGCTTTCCCATTTGTAAGTGTGGGTCCCACGGTGGCATTTCTTGATAAGCTGACTTTGAGCCCTTGGATGTGTTCTACATGTTTCTGTGAGTCTGGGATAATCCCAGCACTAAAACCAGTTCAGTATATAGACATCTGTAAGAGGTCTCTGACCTTTTCAGAATTTAGTTTATGTCTTTCTCTTTGGAGCTGCTGTATGACAGGTAAGAATTCAAGGCAGGTATTCCCAACCATCCTCAAAGCAGAGTTTCTGCTGGACAGAAGGAAGTTGACCCACAGGCAAAACTGGATATAAACCTAGTTTTCCTTGGTACTTTTCAACCTCTTTTTCCAGCATCCTTCTAAGCTCCGCCTTTCCTCATTTCTCATGGTGGCCTCTGGCCATCTGGAAGCCCCAAGGTAGCAGCTTACCAGGCCTGCTTTGCAAGTAGGTCTGGACATTTCTCCTTCAGAACTTTACTGTTAGGCACCGCAGGCTACGGAGAGCAGCCCGCGGCTGGGATCTGGGAGATCAGCCACACTGTGGTAGTCGAGACTGGCGGCGCTGCATGGGTGCCGCCTCTCCGCAGCCCCGGGAGTGTTGGTAGTTTCAAAGGCATGACTCCCCAGTGGTCACAGCCAGCCACACGGTAGAGGAGGGGGATACGTCTTACTGCAGCAAATGTCTAGGCACTTGAACCTTGGCATTTAGGTAAGCAAGCAGATTCCTACAGATGAGTGGTACAGTCATTCACCACCTCGGGAAGATTTGTCATTTTGTTACTGTCAGGAAAGTTGACATAATAAAGGGCCTAAAACACATCTAGCTAGTGAACATCCCAAAATTCCACATCCCAGAATCCACTCACATGGTCAGCATCCATAGTAGAGAGCATGCCGTAGTGATAAGCCGGATAACAGGTTCACATTTCTGGAGGAGTCTAATGCCTGGACTTGCTAATACTCAACAGATAGACACATCTCTGATTTTTTGCTTGACTCTTTTCTGTGCTAGAAATGGCTATTTGAGTGCTCCCAGATCTTCCTTTCAGTGCCTAGATTTACACTTCTCCCTTACGCAGGGGGTTGGGGGTCTGGTGAATAAAACCCAAGAGCTCCAATGACAGAAGCGGGTAGCCACCCAGACGTAAGGGTGAGGTTTGTAAGAAGAACAGGAGGTCTGATTTCTGCCTTTACAAACAGATGTCCAGAGCAAAAGCACAGCATTCCAAAGCGCATGCAGAAATCAGACTCAGAAGGAAGTTCCGGCTGGCATGGCCCACATTTTTGTGTTGTGCATGGACACAGAGCACAGTGCAAAGTCAGGCAGGGCACCCAGGACAGATCTTGTACCACAGATGCAAAAAAAAAAAAATAGCTTTTGTTTTCCTGATGAGAGAGAGGGAGGTTTCTTCCCATAAGTGATTCAGTGCATTGCATACATGTCCAAAGAGAGAAAGACTGGTGAAAAATCACAGAATAACAGCGGTAGCAAGAGCACCTGTGAAAGCAGACTACCTGTTCGTTCACAACTGGCCTTGAGAGAATGCAAAAGGGAGCTGAGGAGTCTCTGCACTCAGCACGCTTCTAGAGACTCATGGCTACAGAAGACGGTGCTTAACCTGTTGAGGATCAACGTGGGTCTCAAAAGGAGGGTGGGGGAAATAGGATTGGACTGAGACTGCCTTTAATCTTCATAACCTGAAGAGTTGAACAAGTCTTTCTTGGGAACCTTGACAGTTAAAAAAGAATCATATCTGTGTTAATTATATATATATATACATAAATATATATACATATGTATGTATGTGTGTGTGTGTATATATATATATATACAGTATATACAGTAAGTGGTTATTAATGTGCCTTTATCAACAATTCAATAAATGTATGTGTAGTCGATTCAAACTTTTGTTTCTTGTCAATTTCTATTTCCAATGTCCCATGTCAAAGGAATCCGTTTGTGGGTTATACTAGAAACACCTGAATTCACAGGCAATCATGGTCACAGTTTGGAGCTCCAGGTAGGGCTGCTCACAAATGAGGCACTTGTGCAAAGCTCAGTTTAGTTGGTGTACAGGACCTCGCTGAATATCAAGTATCTACCAAAAACTGAGCAGCAGCCAGTGGTAGAGGCCACTGTGATAAACAGCTCCTTTCTCCTGATGGACACCATCAGAAATATTCTAGATCAGGAATGTGGTTGGGACCTCGAGTCATTGGGATGAGATTGTGGGGCCAGCAGAATACCCAAACCATTCAGGAAAAATGGTGAAGTATCAGATATACAGCCACACCTAGTATCGTCCTCTGCCCTCCACATCCTGGAGAAATGTCCCTTTGGTAAAAATAAAAACAGATCTTGATATTGTTAGGGGGCTTAGGGAATAACCTTTGACTAATAACAGACTAAGAAAACTTTTAAATAGTATTTTAAAATTATTATTGTGCCCACATTCAGTGCCATGCTGCCTGACCCTTCTTCCTTGCAATCCACCCTCTGCATTGCTACCAGGTCATTTCTCTAAGGTCAAAACTGATGATTGCACTTCCCTGACTAAAAATCTTCTCTAATTCCTCACTGACTGTACAACAAAGCCCACTCTTTCATGCTCTGGCCTGAGTCTTGCCCTGTAGCTTCATCTTTCCCCCGACTGCTGTAACCTGTACACTTTAAACAAACCAAACCACTGTTGGGGAAATATAATTGAAAATGAGATCTTCCAACCCCCAAATACTCTCTATAAAAAAAGTAATGAAAGGAAACAACTTTCATTACTGAGTAAGCACTAAAACAGCATGTGATGCACATCATAGACAACCTACAAGAGATTGCAGACAGACAGAAATCTCATCCCCTTACGTAGCCAAGCAGATAGAACCCACGGGTCATACCAGGAACACCTGATAAAGTGTTCATGATAAACAATAATTAGTTCTAAAGTAAGAGGACTTGACAGCATCATTTGTCATTCACAGTTCATCCTAAATTTACCATCATAATTGGGGAGAACACCTGTGTTGACTTTATCCATAGGAGAAACTTCTCAAATCTTTACCACAAGAGATAGTTTTGCAAATTGGAGCGAGCTGCCCAGGAAATTAGGCTGTCCCCATGCCCCGTCCTCCAGTGTACAGGAACTGAGAGCTGGGGCTCTATCAACCTTGATGTTTGCATTTCAAAGAGATGGCCCCAGATTCTGGAGGAAAGATTCTGGAGTTGGGAGACTAGTGAGCAGCTTATTCACCCATTATAAAAATTTGCATACATTTGAAAAGGACAGAGAATTTTTGTAAGAAAAGGGAAAGGTGCTGGAGAAGATTCTTCCCTTACTTTCAACAAGGAGAATTAAGTCTCTTATTTTGAATTGGTGTTCACCCTTACACCACTCACCATTTTCAGATACAAACCATAGTTTCCCATGTCTCTGTGCCATTTTTCTCTCCACCTAGAACAGCTTCCCTTCTTCCTACTCTTCTTTGAAAACTCATCATTCAAAGTATCTGTCAACCATCAACTCTTCCTTGAGGTCTTCTCTGGCCTTACCAAATATCACTGAGTTGCAGCTCATACTTATTTAGTGCTTACCACACAATCTCAAGTTAGTAGTCACCATCCCTACAATGCTTCTAACACTGTCCTTATTCTTCCTCCATTAAACTGCACAAGAACCAGGTCTAGTTTATCTTGGTATCTTTTATTGTCTTGAACAGTATCCACACAATAAATGCATAATAAATTTTGGGAAAAATAATCAACTAGGAAATCAGAGCACTTTTATTGTGAAGAGGAAAGCCTCATTCAAATAAAAGGGATTTATGTAATGATACAGGGAAATTTAATAAATTCCCATTGCAGGAAGAATAACTGGGCCTCATGGAATGGGAAAGCTACAGGTAACTTGTTTCTTCTCCCTCTATCTCTCTGCTTTTGTCTTTGTCCATTTGTATGTCTTTCTGTCTCTCTCTGTCTGCTTCTCTCTCTCTCTGCTCCGGTCTCTTGCTTCTCTGTAAGCCAACTTGCTCTGTTTACTTATCAGGACTTGGGTGATCAGGGGTACTCCCAAGATGGTAGTCTTATCCTAAGAGTCTATTTCAGTGATAGCCCACACTAGAAGCATCTAGAAGGCTTGTAAAATATAGATTTCTGGGTCCCACTCCAGAGTCTCCAATTCAGTAGATATGGGATGAAGT